CAGTACTTCCTCCGGTACATGGGCCAAGGCGTCCTTCAGCGGCTCGTAGTGCCCGAGCCTCACAGCAGCTCTGACTTCAAGGTCCGCACCAGGTTCCCTTCAATGAGCGCAGGTACAGACCGGTATGCTTTTTGAACCAGATTCTTCACCTCTAGAGCCCACTGCTGCAGGTTTTCGTTGATGCGTGCACGCGATCTTTAAGCTGCGCACGAAAGACGTGTTCCAGGTGAGCGTCGCCATATCTCGCCTTCAATGCCTCAAAGAGCTGCTCATAAGTCACTTTCTCACTGAGAGCTTCCAGAGCTGTCAATGCAGAACTGGTCGCGCAGGCCTAGTGTGAGAGCAGTTATGGCCTCACTTGTATTCCAGCCGTTTGCCTTCATAACAGCTTCGAACTGGATTTTGTAGGCCGACCAGGAAGAAGTCTCGTCAAACGATGGCACTTTGAACCCACGTAGCGAAGGTGTAGTAGCTACTACGGGAGCTGTAGTTCCATCCCCAAGTTTGAGTTCATCCAGTGATTTCTTCATATCAACCATCACGTTGTCAACCCGATTGTTGGCCGATTCGGTTTCAGCTTCCTCGATCCGGGTTTCAGCTTCCGACAGGCGGTTGTCATGTTGAGCAACCCTATCCTTCATCTCCTTTATCTCCTTCCCGATGGTAGCGTGAAGGTCCTTCATGAGGAGCATCTGCAGCTGCTCTTCTAATCGGCGTGCCTGTTCCTCCTGCCTGCGAGCCTGCTCCTCCTGCTGCTCTTTCAACCAACGGGCCTGTTCCTCCTGTCGATAGGCTTGTTCCTCGTGTCGGTGAGCCTGCTCCTCCTGCTGCTCTTTCAACCAACGGGCCTGTTCTTCCTGTCGCTGTGCCTATTCCTCCTGTCGGCGGGTCCGTTCCTACTGTCGGTGAGCCTACTCCTGCAGCATCACCATCAGAGCACCTAAGACAGGTGCTACAGACGTAGGAGCTGCTGACGGGCCGGTCTCCATGGCCGGCGGCGGCTGGTCCTCCGACGTCTGCGGCGTTACACCTACAAATCGTCTCTAGTCTATCTCCTGCTGGCGTTGACTTCGGGTACGGATACCCTCCGTGTCGTCCTTCGGTAAAATCGGCATGATTATATCCCACTTCTGACACCAACTGTTACGAGCTTAGGGTTCGTGAGAATAAAAACTGCCGATTTAATTACCAAAATTAACACTTTAATTCACTCTACACCAATTAAAACTTAAAAGACACTAATAATTAATCACATTGATTCACTTTGTTTCGCTCCTCAGCTTCGCTTGTTTCGCCAAATTCAATACTGCCCCGATTAAGGCTTGCAGCGGCTTTAAATACACCTTTAACACCGAAATATTCAGAATATTCCAGTAAATACGGGCGCCGACCGACCAGGTGCAGAAAGTTCGAGTGTGGGACTTCTAGAAAGCTTAATTCTTCTGTTCGATACTAGATGGCACTGTTGGTGGAAAGTTCAAGATTGAAATTTTCTAGGAAGCCCTCCTCACTCTGGTCCCAGACACTAGATGGCGCTATTGCCAGGTACCAGACGTTAACTTAGGCGCGTAACAATAAAATAACTTGATTTTAACTTATAAAACTTTAGCAATTTTATGCCGTAAGTGAAACATATATTTCACACGGATGAAAATTCAATTATTTAACTACAGTGATATAGGATATGATTGCTAATTTAATAGACATATTACTATCTGTCCAGCTATCTCTTATGGGTTATTGTATACAAAAAATTGGAATTTATAATGTACTCTCCTGAATAAAAAGAATAACTTAGAATCTAAATTAAGATTTAAAAATCATATTCAGAGTTTAAGTAATCCAATTACAGGGGGTGCTTATAAAATGAAAATTCTTTCAGTTCATAGTGGACGTGATATTGTTTTTTGGTCATAAACCATATGAGTGGTGTATAATAACCACAATAAGGAACAAAGTTTGTAAAATTGATCTTGTAAGATATGTATATTTCTTTTTTTGCCTTATAAATAACATCTCAAGATAATTTTCTCGTATGCAAAGAATACAGAAAAATTAATGACGAAATAAAATGGAAATAAAATTACTAAGCCTATTGGAAAATTATGTCTAAGTTTTTAACTAAAGTTAGTAAACTAAAGTTAATGCATTTGCATTGATGACCCAAATTTTATGCACTATTCTCCACAATCTTAAAATACAGAATACAGAAGTATACCTTCTAGTCTTCATAAACCTGTTACGAAATGATTGTTAAAAAGAAAAAAAAGCACTTATAAAAATTCTTACCCTTGTCAACAACTGTTCTTTAACATCTATGTTATTTATCATCATAAGACCCCACTTTATTGGAAACAAGGCATTCCATCTTGGTCCTCACGGGTGACAACGCATCTGCGTTTTGATTCGTAATCGAGGATAGATGTAGATTTCTATGGGCCGCAGCAACCACTTACCATCAGGTGGACAGTGTGCTCGTTTGCCACTCTATCCTATAAAAAAATCTCCTTTCATCATTTTTAATTTTATAAGTTTTTTGTTTCTATGTAAAGTCTGTTTGGATTCAATAAATATTATTATTATTATTTATGTATTCTTTTTTCTTTCTCAAGATTTTGTAAAATCTTGATTTTGAAGAGATGTTCACGGGCCTAAGCCAAGTGCGCATCCATTTGGGAATCAGAATCCGAGATGTCTTCTTGCAAAATTTTCGGACTATACGGCACGTGTTGAGCTGCTTTTTGCATGGTAATATAACTATTTTGAGGAAGATCTAATAGCTTAATCACACCAGTGCTGGAGAGCACCAGCGGTATAATATATACTTTGTTCATTTTCCAGATTCTAGTTACTTCTTCTTTTAATTCTGTGTATTTATGATTTTTTCAGTAATGGTTTTTGTATATTATGGGTATTTGGGATCGCTATATCAATTAGGTATACTGTTTTATTTAATTTATTAATAAAAGTTATATCCGGTCTTTTATAATGAATTGTTTTATCGGTAAGAATAGCTCTATCAAAGTACATTCTGTGACTGTCACTCTCCAGAAAAGGTTTAGGGGTATACTAATAGGAGGGCAGTAGTTTTTGGTTCGGGATTAAATTGTATTTATTTGCAAGTTTTTGATGAACGTAATTAAAACCTGGTTATGACGGTGGGTGTAATTAGTTTGTACTAGGCTGGGACAAGCACCGGTAATATGTTGTATAGTTTCGGGTTGGCGGTGGCATTTCCCTAAATTCGATGCCAGGATTATATGAACTTTCATTGTATAGTTCATATAAACCTACTGTTCTTATGGACTCCTACTGTCACCCATTCATTGAATACCTTGCGATTGTTCAAGGAGAATGTTTTGGAAGTAAAAGTATTATCAAACTCATTGCAAATAAGCTCAAATAGTGTTCCATACAAAAAAATCTGGATTTTTTTAGTATAAAAGTGATTTTTTTATTAGGTTACTTCTAAACTTCTCCAAGCGACGTGTATTTACTGGAACAAACACAACTTTTTTATCTACTTGCTTTTTGTGAACGACGGTAACGCAACTAATTGTCCACAGTGATCAGAGCTCAATTTTTGAATTACACACTTATTATACATTTGTAAAAATGTTATCTATACATGTTGCATTAGATTCAGCAATACGCGTTTGCTCCAAAAATACATTAAAAAGACATTAAATTTAATATTGTTGGAGAAAGCTTCTAGGAGATAGATATTAAAGTCTCCACATATTACAACAGTTTTATTCCGTTTATTAAGCTTAGTGAAAACTTCCTCCATAATTTTTTCAAAAGTATCGTATACAGAACATGGAGTCTGTAAACCCTCACAACATTGAGGTGCTCAAACTCAACACATGCCATTTCTACAGTTCTCTCAACAAAGAGGCTCACAATATCTTACTTTCTTTACATGATAATAATTTACTAGCTAAAATTAAGGAGCCACTTCATAAAACCGTTTCTCTATTGATAGAACTGACCACCTGGTGATTACTGAAGATTAAATTAAGTTAAAAGCTTTTAACCAATGTTCAGTAATAAATAAAATGTGAATATTGTTACTATTTAGGAACAATTCAATTTCTAGCTCTTTGCTTATCATGTCTTGTAAATTCTGATGCTCCAGGTGTAAAAAAAAATTATTATCATTTTGTAGAGTAATACAATTGCAATTATTAAGGGTTTGTAAGCTACATTCTAAAATATTTAAATTATTATAACTGCTAGAGATTATCTCTATTGTCTCAATTTCTTATTTAAATTATTTGGTACTGATTCAAAATTGCACATAAAATCATTATGCTGCTCAATAGGAGCAGATGTTTGGATAGCCAAGTCCTTAACTGAGTTAATATATAAATAATATATTTAGCAGATTTGCTATCTGTCTTAAGAGGCCGCATAATGCTGTTTTGGTGATATTGATCAATCTGGATCTCGGTATCTGTAAGACCTAACAGTTTGCTATTTGGACACATTAAACCTGGACTTATAATCTTCAAATCTGTTGAAGCAAAAACACGATTCGATAAAAAATTCTCGATAAAAAAAAAATATGAAAAACCCTCGTTTTGCACTTATTTTTAGTTAGATCTCTGAAACCTTATGGAATTGAATGATGATTTTTAGCTAATAGATAGATAATAATGTTATCTCAAATCGTGACGATTTATTTTTTTATTTTTCTACGTGGTCTTCTCGTAATTAGGAATTATGTGATTTGGCGCTTGCGTTATTTAATTCTAAACGAGCACACTCTCTTTCTGTCTCTTGTTTTGTACGTAGTAGCAATAGCGCTATCCTTTTCAATTTGTTCAATCATTCTGCTGCGGCATCTATTACGGGACGAACCTATGTTTGGCGACATTACGGAGAGACGACTATTTATTTCCGACATTTTTATTTTGTATTGTGGTAGGTGTTACTGTAAAAAGGAGTTTAAAACGTTTTGTGTAAATATATTACCTATATTTAAAGTGTAAATAAAGATGGGCAAAAAGAAAACTCTCGGAAAAAGAAAACAATTAAAACGTCTAAGAGAACAACTCCGTATTTTGAACGAAGGAAAAAAAAAGTAAGTACCTATCTAACTACCGATATAAATAACAGTATCAATTTAATTTTCATTTTTAATTTTTTTTTCTTAAAAAAACGTTACCCCCACTCTAGGATTTTCTCCTGTATCGTGGAGGCAGTTTACAAACATAAATTGCACGAGGACAAGCACCCTGACCCGGAACAATTATTTGTAGGCCATACAAATACTTGTTCCCTGCGGGATTCGAACCCGCGGCCCCCAGCGCAACAACTCATTGCTAAGCCACTGCGCTACGGAGGCCGTCAAATTATTCTTTTGTTTACGTAGCTTCTTAGGTATTCCGAATATATATAGAGCCGAACACGAAGGATCGGTTTGCGAATCATTTTTCGAGTTTCAACCTTATTGCAACGAGATAAAGCTCATGTCTAGTGTCACGTCACGTTGCTGCTGGCTGTTGATAAAGTTTAAATTCGTTTGATGTGTTGCAAAAACGTTTTGTAATTTTATTGTTACATAAGTTTGTTTATGTTTATATAAGATCAATCGGGGTGTTATGATAGGTACCACTCGTAGTTTCTGATACCCACGATACAGGGAATAGGTATCACTGTGGGGTTAGGGATAGGTTTTGAATGTTGTGGGTTATGTTATGTTACTTTGACTGCCTCATTGGTCTAGTGGTTGTAGTAGTGCGACTGCTGATCATGAGGTCCTGGGTTCGAATCCCGGGTCGGGCCAAAATTTTTTTTTGTAAATAAGTTGAAATTTGTAAAAGATCAACCGGTGTATTATGAGAGGTACTACCCGTAGTTTCTGATACCGTCAAGAAATTTTCTGTAGCTGCCCGGAGTCAGGAAGTTGGCGGTGGCCCACCTCCTTGTCTCGGAATGCACGTAAAGCCGTTGGTCCTGCACCTGATCTCACTCCGGTTGTGTCGGTTTACCGTCTCATCGGATTATGAGGGTGAGGGAATAGAGAGTGCACCTATGCTTGCGCATACATTTGCGCACTATAATGCTATCCTGCGTCGATGGCTAGTCTCCGTTGAGGCAGGCCGCCGTGACCGAAATTTGGTCTGGAGAATAGTATGTTACTTTATTTTATTATGACTATACATTTGCAGAAAACCAAACATTTCATTCATTGAGCTTGAGAATGTGACGAATAAAACGGCGCCCACGGTATTAGAGAATGGACTGCACGAAGACGGATCGGCACGCGGCGCGAGCGACTCGAGCGGCGCGCCGGCGGTGCCCACGTCGTTGTCGGCGGCGGCGGCTGACCATTTGGAACAGGGAAAAGGGGACTCGTCGCTATCTATTGACAGTACGGACAAGTAAGTATTTACATAAATAAATACATATAAAATAAATAAGTAAGTAAATTTTGAATCCCTGTTAGTATTTCTTTCTCTAACTGCCTCGTTGGTCTAGCGGTCGCAAACGCTACTGCTGAGCGAGAAGTCCTGGGTCGGGCAAAATGGTATTGGGTTTTTCCATTAGTAATTTCTCAGTACCAGTCCGGAGTCTGGATTTGTGCTCGATTAGTGGCAATAGGCTCGCGCTTTATTACATGAGACTTATAACATAAATGGCGAAATGTGGGTGCACTATGCACCTCTACCTACCCTTTCGGGGAATAATGACGTAATGCTATGTATGTATATATGTATGTAAATTTTAATGAAACATGGTTCAATCTTTTCAACCATGTTTCATTATTGGAATGAAAATTTTACAATGCTATAAGTACTCGTATCCTACCTAAATGCGAAGACTTGGTTTATGAGAATCAAAGGTAGACCTAATACAAATGAATGCATCTATAATATTGCACTCGTATTTTTACTGACTTCAAAAATGAGTAGGATATTCTCGATCCGACGTTTTTAGGGTTCTGTACCAAAATGGTAAAAAAGAAACCCCTATGGTGTGACTTTGTCTGTCTGTCACAGCCGTATATTTCAGAAACTACTAATGTTATCGACTTGAAATTTGGAGCAGTTATATACAAAATGCTTGGCTACTGTTATTGCTAATGAGAAAAGTTCAAAAATATTTTTATTTTCACTGCAAAAGGCACCGAAGAGGGGGTTTGGAATTTTAAAAATTTACTAGGTATAGTATATAGCGTATATATGTGTAGTGTGAGTGACATTAGACGAACTGTACCTTTTCACTAATATATCCATAAATATCGGTTGTGCTTTGAATATGTTTTTTTAAATGTTTTATATGAAATACATATTTTAAAATAAATTTAATAATATTATGATAATAATATCACACATATATTTTAAATTATAATAAAGAAAACAAGATTTTTGATGTAGATTTGTATTTGTATAGATGATGTAAATTTAATTGTGTAATGTCTCTGTCCTAGTCTGTCCTGATACTATAATCTGACATCTGTCCCCGCACCATGCTACAGCGCTAGCAATGTAGGTAAAGTGACATATTATATGAAAGGTATTTGGACATGGGAACGTATCGGAGCTATTCAAAGATATACTATTGTTTCAAAACATTCATGCATTATTATTATTGTCTGCTTTATAGTTTATGTAATAATATGTATTACTGTTGTAGGTTTCCAGACGAAGAGCACACGTCAGATAGAAATCATGCAGAAATCAATGAAGAATCAGACGAAAGAAGAATCATAGACCTTAAATATTTTCTAAAAGAATTAAAAACAATTTCGAACCACTCAACAGCCTTCGGTTGCGGTATAAATAATTTGGAGTTGATAGGGGACAAAAGGTTAGGTTTGATTTCAAAATTAAAACTCAAATGCAATATGTGTAATGTTGAATTTACTACACATACGTCCAAACCTAGTCCAAGCGACAATTTGAATGTAAATACTGCCGTAGTAACGAGTGCTGTTATTACAGGTGTAGGATATACACAATTGCAAGAAATATTTACATCAATAAATGTTCCGTTTATGACAGAAGTTTTTTTATAAGAAAATTGATAATCGAGTTAGTGAAGAATGGGAAAAGTTAGCCACAATTGAAATGGAAGCTGCGGCTGCTCGTGAGAAGCAAAGTGCATTGGACGAAGGCAGAGTCAATTCAGATGGAATCCCCGTCATAGACGTGATCGTTGATGGTTGCTGGGCTAAGAGGACCTACAAGAAAAACTATTCCTCGTTATCAGGCGCTGCTGCAATCATAGGTAAAAAGTTTGGGGAAGTGCTATATCTCGCCGTAAAAAATAAATATTGTTGCATATGTGTACGCGCCAAGAATAAACAAACTACACCATCAGAGCACATGTGTTTTAAAAATTACACTGGTTCATCTACAAACATGGAATCGGAAATATTAGTGGAAGGATTCAAACAATCTTTGCACATGTATGGTCTTATATACGGCAAAATGGTTGCTGATGGAGACGCTTCCACTTATTCTAAAATTTTAGCAGCCCGGCCATATCCTAACTACACTGTTGAAAAGATAGAGTGTAGAAACCATTTATTACGAAACCTGTGTAATAAATTACAAGCGCTTACCAAAGATACCAAATATAAACTGCAGCATAGAAGGTATCTGAATACACAAAGAATCCTGGCTATCAGAAAAGTTATTTGTTCTTCAATAAAACACCTGAAGAAAACAAGTGATACCCGCTCAAAACAAATAAACGATCTTTATGTAGCAATTTCCAATTCATATAATCATGCTTTCGGTTGTCATACCAATTGTCAGAATTTTTATTGCGAAAGCAAAAAAACAAGTGAAGATGTCACTGTCAAACTGAAAGATACGGCGTTAGAAAATCAAATAAAGTTTATAGTCTGCTCTATTGCAGCTAATGCACGAAGTCTTATTGAAGACGTAGACAGCAATCGTTGTGAACAGTTTAATGCCATAATTGCAAAGTGTATCGGTGGTAAACGCATAAACTTTTGTCTTCGGCGTTCATATCAGACCAGATGCGCTACGGAAGTCGTATCATTTAATACAAAAAGAACTTTGTATAAGCTCCAAAGATCTATTCTTGGTGTGAGCCCAATGTCAAAATCAAAATACCTGGAATTGCGAAAACTAAAAAGAAACGGTTCCAAGCCTAAAATGCAACCCAGAAAGCTTGTTTATCAACAGAAAGAGAAAAGGGCTGAAGATGAAAATTACGGTCAAAATTGTATGAAGCCTGATTTGCATACAGAAGATTTAGAAAGAATGAAAAAAACATTTTTAACAAATTTGGAGAAATCTGACGAAGAAAGAATTAATATTGAAAGGGAAACAGTCCTCCAGAGTGATTGTAGTAAATGGATGGAAATACGAAGGAATTTGTTAACGGCTTCCAATTTCGGCAAAATTATAAACAACAGGAGCACGACGTCAGGTAGTATAGTTAAAAGTTTACTGTATCAAAAAGATCTCTCTGGTGTTACCTCCATCAAACATGGTAAAATTAATGAAAAAATTGCTTTGAATCAACTAGAGCAGCAAGAAAACATTAAAATTATGCCCTGTGGGCTATTCATCGATAAAAACCATCCATTTTTAGGATCAACTCCTGACGGTGTGATAGATGACAATAGGATTGTAGAAATAAAATGTCCAGTATCAGGCTACAGAACTAGCTTGGAAGATGCTGTGAAAAACAGGAAAATTACTTTCTGGAAGTATGATAATGGCCAAATGTTGATCAATAAGAAACATCACTGGTATTTCCAAGTGCAAGGATAGTTAAATATTACAGGAAGGAGAGAGTGTCTTTTTGCCGTGTGGGTTAGTTCAAATCAACAGATAAAAACAGAAATAATACAATGCGACCAAAGACTGTGGAATGATCATATGGTTCCCAAACTAAAAACATTTTACTTGGAATCTTTACTGCCGGAATTGTTGGATCCGCGAAAAACACGTAATATGCCCTTCAGAAAAATAAGTTCTCCGACCACAATCAAAGAAAAACCCAAGAAAAGAAAACATAATTCAATAAATTCTCATTTTGCCAAGGTCCCAAAAACGCAGGAAAGAACCGACAATTACGACATGACAGATATACAACAATGTAAGCAATCCATTGTACATTTCAATAATATGTAAAATAAATTGGTAAATCCAGTTGGGCATGCCTTAAGGCATTAAAAAAATTACGTATAACATGATTATATATGATTAACATATATATGATTATACGGAATTTTTTAAAGTAGTTTAAATACATTTCGACAGCACTATCGGCTTCAACACCCTCGAAAACCAATGAAAATGACACCCATGATGAAAAAATTTATACCTAATTCAGCCGCCATCTTGGATTTACATTTCGACAGCACTATCGGCTTCAACGCCCTCGAAACCCATGAAAATGACACCCATGATGAAAAAATTTATACCTATTGCAGCCGCCACCTTGGATTTACATTTCGACAACACTATCGGCTTCAGCACCCTCGAAAACCATGAAAATGACACCCATGATGAACAAATCAATACCCATTGCAGCCGCCGTCTAGGATTTAAATTTCGACAGCTCTATCGGCTTCAACACCCTCGAAAACCATGAAAATGTCACCCATGACAAAAAATATTGATACTACTTACTTTTAGTCTGTACTACTATTATTTATTCTGTGCTTTTAAAATATTGTAATAAAAAAAATCTCTTATTATTACCATAGTAATGACGCGCTCTCGTGTAGTGTTTTACATATCTACCTAGTTATTTATGATGAGAGTTTATTTTTGTTTAGGAAGCATTACTTTTTGTTATAACGGTAATATGATATTTGTAGTGGGTACTTACGTATGAATATTGCGTGTCGCGTAATTTGTTGAAGCCTCTTTTTTTGTCTTTTTTTTTTTTACGGATTTTTTATATCATTGTAATTGTATTGTATATTCAGAATATAAGTACATATTAAACTGTTTAATAAATGCATATTTACATATAACATTTTATTTCATGCTAATCTTTTAGGTTTATAAATTGAGTAGGTATCTACGCGAGGACTGAATTATGGATCAGTCTAGATAGTCTCGAGTCCACGAAAAAAAAAACACGAGCCTCTAAATTTTGAAACTCGAGTCTCGGAATGGACCCTAGTACCTATTTACGTACTATATTGGTGGTATGTCAGCTTGTAGGCCTATGAGAGAAGCTTCTAAATGTTACTCTTTACACATCGATCCGTCGTACCGTAGAAATACTTCCGTGAATTTGAAATTTATTTGAATAACATATTTTTACTTATACATTTTTATTGCCACACGAATCAAGTTCAAATTCACGAAACGGGGTGTTATTATTCAAAGCTAAACAGTATGTTTACGGTCCGTCTCCGGCACAGATCGCTGTTCATCAGCTGGGCGGCCGGGATCGGCGCCGTTCAAAGTCGAACTCGACTCACGCACTAGATCAGTAAAGTGCTTATCTGAACACATTTCTAAAGACGCAAACTTCGACACGAAATAAATAGCCTATTCACAGATATCATGAATTCTTACAATCATGCATTCGGAAACGTAGGTACTTGCATAGACCTACTACCTACATAACTACATACCCAACGGCTGTCACATTACATACATACACGGCGAAAACTACAAAACGCAAACTTACTACCTGCTAAACCAATGGGCGTATCCTTCCAGTATTTGGAATTTCCAGTATAAGCTGATCTTGCATTGTATAGGCTTTCAGTACAATGAAGAGTCAGCTTATACTAGAATATTAGTTTGAGTAGCCCTTAGTATGTACAATGAAATTAAATTTGCGATATATAATTTTATGTTCATATAATGACAAGTTAATAGTAAATTATGATTGATAATTTTATTACTTACTACGCGTCCGATTATAGTTTATTTTCAAATTCAAATTCATTTATTTATTTGTGAATACAGTAAGTTAGGTGTTATAAAAATTTACAGTAGGTACCGTGTATTCTACCACAGTGTGGTGTACAAATATATTTCTTCACGTTATAGCCAATAACAGCAAAATGGAATACTATTAAAATTGATTGCAATTTATAAAAATACAATAATCATATTTGTAGGTGGTATTAAATATTCACAAAAATGTTATATATTATAAGTGAAAAGCGTCTTGCAATGATACCCATGACACATAACACATTTCGTAATGGCGCCTTTACGTCTATATTGAAAAAAAAGAAAAAAGGTGAAGTAAATAAAAATGTCATCTTTTCAAATTATTATTACTATTATTAAATACACGAGTCAACAATAAATACTGCATCTTAAGCTAATGTCACGTAAATAAAATGTTAGCGACGACAAAGTGAATTCGAACATTTAATCTTAATTATTTCTTATCAGTGATTTAAAACTAAGTGATAGTATTTAATCTTAATTGTTTCCTATTCGTAAAATAAAGCTAAGTGTAAAGACTGATTAGTGCTGAAAACGGGAAAGTAAATTAAACACTTCTATTCTTATCTTAAAGTAACTTATATGAATCTATTTAATATTATTTAGGTCTGATTAGAACATTAGACGCAAGTATAAGCTTATTTTCTAGTAAGATTTCTTTTATCATAACTTTAAGAGCTATTAACTTAAAGGTGATTAATGTAATTCTTTTTTACTTCAAAGTAATTCAAAAGAAAAATTAATATGTCAATTAATCACTATATAATGTCATTTCATTATGAGACAGATTTAAATTTTATGTAAAAATATTGTATAGATTCTTAAGCATTAATCCTGAAAAAAGTGTTGTACATTCCTACCTCTTGGCGGCGCTACTTGTATGTTCGGCAAAAAAAATACTATCCTACTCCGGAGCTAAACCGTGAAGCGACCGCGAAGCTATTTTTATTTTTTATAAGTGTAAAATAAAGGTTTATTGAATAATTTAGGTTTAGAATAATAGAAATAAGTTGTATCTATCGCTAGGAATAAATATAAATATTGTAAGAAATGTTTTACCACGTTTATTAAGGAAATTGTAAATCTCTCTTAGAAAGGGTTATTCTGT